AGATATTTAGCTTCAGTAACTCAGATGCGTGTTTAAACGGCTACCTCAGCCACCCTGGTTTGCTCTATGGGATTCCTTTGATATTCCTGTAAGATTTCTATGATATTGCTCTACCTTTTACCCTGTTTCCGTCCTACCCCCTGTAATCAATAAAGTTCTCCTTTGTGACTGGTGTGGGAGACTTATTGAGGGGTGGGTCTAAATTATGCCAAGGAGGCCCCTTAGGCCTGTGTACTAAGGGAGGCTTCCTAATAAGCCCCTGACTTGGGGAAGTGCCCCAAGTGCTTGTATTGGGTCTAGTACCCATTGGACGATCAGGCCTGTGTTCTCCAAGGTGCGCAGAGCCAGAAGTGAGTCCAGAGCCTTGGATGGTGGCAGCGGAACCCCAGGCTAACGGGTGTGCTCCAGGGAAGGGGTCGGCCGGAAGGGAGGCACCCTAAGGGAGGCACTCGGAGCCTGGAAGGTGGTCGGCACAGGGAGGTGGGCAGCTCAACGCAGGAGCGCCCCCTACTGGCCCGCCACAGTCCCCAATACCAGGGGTTGGCAACCTATGGTGGTCCACAGAGCCTTTGATCCAGTCCATGGACCTGGTGCTTTGGAAGCTGGTGCTCTCCCCTGGCCGACAGTACCAGCTACAGTTAGGTCCTAGTGCCCACCCAGCTGTATTCTGAACTGGGTCAATCTGGCCCACAGCTTTAAAGGCTAAGTACAGAAAAAGTCCAAGGCTGAATCAAGTCAATCTTCACAGGTTAGTATAAGATGCGTAGCTTGAACCTATAAGCAAGTGAGCAAACATTCACTTTTGATTCTGGAAAGGCAGCCACGTCTGCAGTGGCCCAGACCAGAAGCTGGAGGGTACTATAGCATGCCTCCCTGCTCTGCTGGAGCAGACAACTTGGGCCAAGGCTAGCCTGCCCACCCTGTGGGGGAAGGGGAGAGGTTTGTGGGAGAGGTGCAAAGCATCCTGGGTTGCTGAGGAACTGAGTTAACTTGAATCTGGAGGGGATCTGGGACAGAAGTTCAACACACCAATTTAACCTAAATCAGTTAAGTATGATACTGCATCCACCCAGGTTTATCTTAAACTGGTTTCAGTCATTTTGAAAGCAGTTTATGTGCCCTGAACTTCTGTTGTGTTACAGATCTGAATAGGTTTCCAGTCCCTTATGCTGGTTTATGTGAAATTTCTGTCCCTAGCCACAAAGCTGCTAACCGCTGCCCTACAGTATTTTTGTTTCTCTTTCTCAAGAGCCCTGAATTTTAAATGAACAATGCCCTGAATGGTTCCATTTCTACCATCATTGGCAACCCTGCAGAAATCTGAAGAGCAGCAAGTGAAAGGTATACCCTGACTGAATTTTTACTTATCCTAATATTTTGCTGGAGGACCCAGACGATCCCTCAGAGTTAGCCATTAAGTCTGCTCCGTAAGAGACTTCTTCCTAGCAAACATTTTATTACCTCTGGCATGCAAAATGCCCACTTCACTGACGTAAATGAACACTGGAAGACGACGATTTTGTCTCTGTGAGAACTCTATGAAATGCAGATGTCCTTCAGTTTTGAAAGAGCTTGCAGAAAATCTATTTTTGTCATTTGTTTCATAAAATGAACACTTTCCGTTCACATGACATTTTCTCCTATAATAAGAGTAAAAATTGGTAGAAGGATAATTATTCTAAATTTGAATCTAACTTGTGATCTTTGTACAGAAATAAAATGACTGACAGGCTAATGAGTTCTACAAAGTACAAGAAGTTATGAAAAGGTCATAGCATTTTTAGCTAGAGGTTATCATGAAGCTTCCATCCTGAAGTCTAACTGAAGGCATAATTACAAACAGAAAGCTCCTCAAACTCTCTCATTGTGCTTCAAATGGAAAAGGAGACAGGGAAATGGGGCAGGGGGCTGGACTTGATGATCTTCCGAGGTCCCTTCCAGCCCTAATGTCTATGAAATCTATACGCAGCAGCAATATGTAGGTTAGTTACAAATTCAAGGCTGCAAATAACAGTAAGTGATCATCAAGTAAGTACAGAATATGTAACTTTAAGGCTATGATTATTTATAAAACTTGCAAAAGCCCAAAAATTGAGAAAAAAAAAATTGTTTTTAGTATTAAATATCTAAACCAGGAATTCTCAACCAGGATGCTGTGCCCACAAGAGCCTTTTAAGTGTGCAACAGGATGCCACTCAATTTTAGCACAATTAGATGGGTAAACACCTATACACAATTCACAAGAAAAACCCAGAGAGGTCAAATAGGAATCTGTAGTGTCCAAAACATCCCGACTTCCTGTGGTCTTTCTTCTTTGCAACAGAAGAGTTCCTCTATTGTTTTTCCATAGCCAAAAAAATGAGTGAAAGCTAAGAGTTGGGATTTTATGAGGGGTGTCTTGAGTGCAAAACGGTTGAGAACCACTGATCTAGATAGTGCACATTAGAATCAAGTTAGCTAGCAATTCATTTTTGATGACAAACAGATTTTTGGAAGTAACTGTTTAATCATGCACGTGCAGGCGAGAGATGGATCAGAAACAGAATCACAGCTCTAACAGTAATAGTCTCTTATGAAAAGGCCAAAAATTAATCTGCAAGAACAGCTGATGGTAAAACTGTCTGATGTCAGACAAAACACAAACGAAACAGAAGAACAATCTTTTTTAAGAGTCCCTGTATGAGTTTTGGGGATGGTCATTATGATTTATGAGTATAATTACTGTTGGCATTTTGTAGGGTCTCTATGTAAAAGCACATGCTGGACTTCAAAAAGGCAAAGCTCAAATGAAATGGTAAAGAAATGGTTTAATTAGAGGTGACTTTTGGTGGCCACAGTAATATTGGTCCTCTCTATTGATGTAGTGGCCTGCCTACATAAATCTGGTTGCAGTATCAGTGGCCCAGGCTGGTTAGCGTGCAGTGTTGTAAATGGTTTCTTCATTTGATGTGCAGTATTGCCACTGCCAGTCATGAATAACGCAATCTCCTGCACTGAGACAGTGGTGTCCACTGGCTCCTGGAACTCATATGAGGGGCAGTGGGTGCTGGCTGGTGTGCTCTGCTCAGTGTCCTCCCTTGGCACACTTGTTACAAACTTCTGACCCACATTCCCATCCCCGTTTTCTCCTTAGCTGTCCCAAGTAATCAACTGCTGTGCCTTTAGTGGACTCCCTGATTAATGGAGGCTCATACTACCCCTGGTGGGTCTAGGCCCATGTTTCTCTTGGCATAACAAACAGGCCTGCACTGAAGCAGGATCAAGGGTACCCTTATAGACACTGGTCTACCTAATTTTCAAAGCCTCCAATAAAAGAGGTTCTACAGCATCATTAGGTATCACATTCCCATGTTCCACCACCCCAACAGTCAAAACCTTTTCCTAATATACAACCTACACCTACTTTGCTCCCAGTTAAACTTTCTTTTTGTCCCCCATAAGTGTCTACGGAGAAAAAAAAGCACTTTTAAATACCCTTTTCACATATTGGAAGACTTTTTGCATGCTCTTCTTAGCCTGCTCTTTTCTAGACCAAACAAACCCAATGCTTTCAACCTTTCCTAAAACATTATATTTTCTACACTTCAATCACTCTTGTTGCTTTGCTCTGGATTCTAAGAAAAACCTAGACCAAATGAAGTGCAGTGACCAAAACTGGATGCAGTGTTCCAGTAGAAACCCGACCTGAGCACAGAAGAGCAGAAAAACTACTTCTCAGCTCTAACATGCAATGCTCCTATTAACACTGCCCAAAAGATCTGCCTTAAAAACAAAGCCAAGCTCCTCACGTTGCTGGCTCACTCCTAGCTTGATTCATAATCACCTCCACACTCTTTTCTGACATACAAAATAGAAAAGAACTGCCTGCAAAGTAGTATTTGTGCAATGGTTTTTCTGTCCTAAGTGCAGCACTCTCTGCCTATCTTTCAAGATTTCGTCTTGTTACTTTCTGAGTATCTTATCTCTCCAGTTTGTCAAGACCATTTCAAATTCAGAGCCTGCCTTCCAAAGTGCTCACAATCTCTACTACATTGGGGGCCTTGCAAATTTTATATGCATCTTTTCTAGTCCACTGTCTAGTCATGAAAGACAATACTGACTGAAACCTGGCACAAAACAGACTGCTGCCAGACCCCACTTTAAACACCCTCCCAGCCAGACCATGAGCATGGAGAACTACTCTGCCCACGGTTTTTCAACCAGCTGGGCACTCATTAACATAGTTGCATTTAAATCGATGAGACCCATTTTTTTGACACTGTCAGCCACCACCACTTCTCATGGACCATCCTGTACCCTTGTCCAGCTTTTAATTAACAGAGGAGGAGCTCCCTGTGCAACCCCCAGGCCCTTCCCACAGCTTCACAGACCGGGAATCACTGATCTAGACCAGATTGCTCCAGCTTAAGAAAGCTGCACATAGGATAGCATCAAAAGCTTCACTGACGTAACATCACATCTGATTTCCATTTCCTAGTCAGCCCTTACCCTGGCAAGGAAAGAAATGAGATTGGCTTGATGTGATGTGATGTGATCTAGACCGGTGATGCTCAACCTTTTTGTTTTGTTTTGCTGGACCACTGCCAGTTCTGTTTACAGGCTGGATTCGGCCGGTGGGCCTGACCCAGTGCGCAGGGTGGTGGGGTGTCTTGGGGCCCCCGCCCCACTCACCGCAGCTGCTCCTGGGTCTCGGCGACTAGACGCTTCAGCTGCTCCGGGCTGAGCCGCACCTGGGGGCACAAACAGGCGTCGGTCGGGGTCGGGGTCGTAGGAGGAGGCGGGCCGACCCCTCTCCTCTCCTCCCACCCCGCCCCCACACCCCGCGGGCCTCACCTTGTCGGGCGTTTCCTTGGCGACGCCGCGGCGGACCCAGGAGGCGCAGGTGACGGGGCTCGGCATGGTCCCGGCGGCACGTGCGGGCCGCGCCGTCGCGCTCCTGATGACGGCCACCAGCGCGAACGGGCACCTTTGCGGCGAAGAGGAGGGGGAACGGGTGTCAGACGTCATCACCAAGCGCCCGGGAGGAGAAAAGGGGCGGGGCGGGCAGGTGCTGGGAAGGGCCACGGAAAGCAGGGCGAGGCAGCGGAAGGGTGCGGGTTTACTTTGCTCCGTGCGCGCCCCGTCCCCACGTCTGATGAAGTGAGCTTCAACCCGTGACAACGTGCGCTGTACAAGAGCCGTCTCCTTTGGGTCGCCTGCAACACTGATTCTCAGCCAAGGGGCCTGGGCACCCTGGGGTGCTGCCAGATCCTTGGGAGGGCGCCCTGGTGAGAGGAGATAAGCAGATAAATGCAGGTGTCCCTGCCTGGCCAGCCCCTCGGCAGGGCGGTAGCACTGTAATATATAACTCGGCTTTTGAAATGAGTGCCTCTCGCTTCACGAAAGTTGTGGAGGGTGTCTTGAGCACAGTGAGAGGCGCCTCAAGTCCAGCAAGGTTGAGAACCACTGGTCAGTGAGGTGCCAACACCACCATGCCTGGACTCCTGACGGCCCCGGGGCAGACTTTTAGTATCAGGCCCCACCTTTGCCAGAGATGATGATAATCATTATTTTCACCATTTTCAGGCCCTCGTTCTGTCCGGGCCGTGGGCAGCCACCTGCTTCACCCATGCCTGTGTCCAGCCCTGGTTGCAGATGTACCTGCCTTCTGCAGGTCCTAGTGCTTCCAAGTTGTTCATCCACGTGGGGCTTTGCTGCTCCCCTGGTAGCCTGGAGAGAAGCGCTGCGCTCATCCTGTTTGTGTTACCCCAGCCCGTAGACTGAACACCCATTGGATGGCGATGTCCTGATGACGCCACCAGCGCGAACAGGCACCTTTGCGGTGAAGAGGAGGGGGAACAGGTCAGGACAACACAGAGAGTGCCAGTGTGTTAGTCTGAAGCCTGGTAGAAGGCAAGGCAGGGTGGCCCCTCATGGCTGGGGGATGGCCCACCTACAGCATGCATGCCACAAGTGGCCAGGGCCAGATTAACCCTTTAGTGGGCCCTAAGCAAACAAACTTGGGCCCCTCGGCTGAAAATAAAATACTTATATTACCTTTTTCACTCAATAATTACTATATGTAAAATAAGAACAGCTGGGCCCCTTCTTCACTTGGGGCCCTAGACATGGGCCTAGTTTGCCTATGCATTAATCTGGCCCTGCAAGTGGCACAGGCAGCCTCTCTGTATGGCATGTGGGAGATTAGGGAGGGGACAGGCAGCCCAGCAGCAGATCCAGCAGGGGAAGGGGATCAGAGTGGCACTTGGGGAGGGTACAGGACTAATTTGTGGTACGCTGGCCAAAAATGTTGGCCCCCACTGTCATAAACTAACTGTTTCATTGAGGCATAAGCTTTTGTAAGTGACAGCTTGCTTTATCAATAAGCTATTGCTTACAAAAGTCCATGCCTCTGAACCAGTTAGTCTACAAGGTGCCACTGTCACTCTGCCCTGCCACCTTCCAATGGAACAAACCCCTATACCCAGCTGAGTGCTCCATTTAACCCACTCCAGTATTATCCAACACATTGCTGCCAAACATCTGTCCCTCGGCAGTCCTTCTGATAAGGGTTCCTCATTTATGCACTGACTTGCAGGTTCCTGACCCTCACCTGTAGCGACCTTTCCACCTCTGTCCTGATGTAGTGCTCATGTAAAGGCTGCTTCTGAGCCTTTCTGAAAAGTCTGGGCCCAGACAGGCATCCAGGGCCAGCTGGGCTGCCTTGCAGCTGGGCCAGTGGGCCAGCCGTGTGGGGACCAGAGCCCCGGATATCATGGTAGGGACCATGGACAACAATGGTGAGGCAGTTCAGGGGACCCAGCTGGGAGAGCCTGCCCAGGCCCAGCCCCAGGGACCTAGCTGAAGGCGCGACGAGGTGGCTGAACTCCTGGCTATTTGGGGCTAGGAGGACACACAGTGGCAGTTTGTTGTGGATCAGCACAATAAGCATGTGTGCCAGGCAATAGTTGCCCAGATGATGGAGCAGGAGCACTGTAAACTTGGCAGCAGTGCCGGATAAAGGCGAAGGCATTACAGCAGCAGTTTCATGCCACCCACAATGTAAAACAACACTCAGGAGCAGGACAAACCACCACACCCCACTACAAAGAGCTGGCCTGCATCCTGGGGCGCACAGCCACCAGGACCCCTTGCTACTCCTTCGCCACCAGGGCAGGAGCGCAGCCAGCGGTAGCCAGCTCGGTGGCTCAGCCAGAGTTCTTGGAGGCAGTGCTCTCCACCAGGCCCACTGCACCGCCGCCATCCGGCCATGCCAGGAGTAACACCAGCAAGGAGCAGACACCACAGGCCAGACCTGGTGCCACAGCCAGGTATAAGGGGAGCCTGGAGCAGCAGGTCCCCTGAAACCTGCAGAACAACAGCAGGGGCAGGGAGGAGCACAAGAAGTGGTCTGGGATGTCAGCCAGGTCAGCAGAGGGCGAGGGCACACCCCCACGGTGTTGGTGCCAGGCCTCACCCCCATCAGGTGGTCCAGCTTCACCCCCACTCCCCAACGCAGGGCCCAGAAGCTATGATGGGCTTTGAGCCGAGCTAGCCGCCTGTCACTGAGACCTGGGAAATCCCAAACGGTGTGGGGAACTGGGAGGCTCTCCCTGCCCCACTCCTCCCTTCTTCCCAGGGCTGCTCCTCCTTGGGCCCTCCATGCAACCCAAACCCACCTCCACCTCCTCCCTCCCTCCTTCCTTTCCTGACCTCCACTCCTTAGCTGTGCAGGGGCCCCCTTGCCAGCAGGGCCAGGACAGCCTCTCCCCCTTGCTAGCAGGCTGCCTGGGCACACAGCAGGAGGGCATGGGCAGACCCCAGGATGGATGTGATGCTGGTCATAGTGCCAGGCCCACATTGGTCTGGCTTGGGGACCATCAGCCTGACCCTACACCTGAAAGTGAGGCTACTCCCTGGGGATCCTTGCTGAGGACTGTTTTTGCCCCATTCCATGTTGCTGTAGCTGAAGATGGCCCTCTGTCTGCTCTCTCTACAGACAGCCCATTTGCCAGGGGAGAGACTGCCGCCCAGCACCCAGGAGCCACCTGCCCAGTGTCACAGACTCTGGGGCCCATCCAGATGCACCGCCTGCGCTGGGAGCGGTGTGCCCAGTGGGAGACCCTGCAGAAGGAGGCCCTCCGGATGGAGTAGGCCTGCCATCGGGAGGCCCAGGACTTCCACACTAAGGTCCTGCATGAGTGCCGCAGTTTCCACCACAACCAGGCTGTGGCCCTGGAGGAGGCCTGAGAGGAGCAGGAGCTGGCCCAGGAGAGTTTTGAGGAGCTGTGGCAACTGCAGGCTTCTGTGGATGCTGCTGTCACACACAAGCACAGGGTCGCAGAGCAGCTCCTGACCACCTTCCCTGCCCCAGCCACTCCTGGCACTGCACCCCAGTCTGCACCAGCCCCACCACAGCTGCCTGGCCCTCCTGGCCAGACCATGCCCCCAGTATCAGGGGCAGGGCCCAGCAGGAAGCACAGTTGGCTGGATGCTGGTGCAGCTGGCATCCCAGCAGGCCCCATCAGCCTGCTGCAGCTGTTAAGGGGCACCAGTCCTGCCTCCCCACTTCCCAGTCCTGGGCCTACCTGCCGTGGCTGCCCCTAAGAAAGAATACCCACCCTCCTTCCCAGAACAGCCAGGACCCTGGCCACACCAGCATGGCTCCCGCACATGGGGTAGTCAGACCCAGGTTCAAGGCCCAGGTCTGGGCTGTAGACCTGCTAGCCCCTGAGTTCCTTCTCCCTGTGCCTCTTCCCTCAGTGTTTCTCCCATGCCTCAGGACCCTCTGGGACACATACATAGTTTTTGTTCCTTTCTCATTTGGAAGGGGTTTATGCATGGGGTGTGGTGGGCCTGGATAAATGGTGGTGGGGAGGTGGAGGGTTTCATATGGCATACAGTGGGTATGTTGCGTTGCTGGTGTTGGGAAAGTTTTGGGGAGAGGGAATAAATTTGCTTTTGTTTTCACTATAGCCACACTGCCTGTGTTGCTGTGGTCCTGGCAGTGGGTGGGGATGGAGACCCCTGGGCAGATGGCCTGGTGGCAGTGCTGAGAAAGCCAGTGTCCTACTTGTGTGTGTGTGTGTGGGGGGGGTGGTGAGGGTAGGACACAGGTGGGTGGTGAACGACTTGTGCACTCTGGCTCCCATGTGTTGCTTCCAGAGTGGTGGCCCGCGCTTGCAACACTTCCTGGCTAGCTGGCTCTACTACAGCTGTTGCTGGAGGCACCATGATACACAGTGAGCCTCCTCCATCCACTGGGGCTCAAAGACCTGTCCCTGGGACTCAGGCACATTATGCAAGACACACACCATGGTGCAGATGCAGGGTATGTGCTGTGGTGCTGCCTCCAAGTGGCTGACTCTGGCCCTGGACCGGGCTGCCTGGATACAGTGGTGCTGCTGTGCAGCCACGGCCCACTGGCAGCTGGTCCAGAGGTGCAGGTGGCTCTGCTGGAGGGCCTGTAATACAGCCCAGGCAGCCTTCAGCTCCCCCTGGCTGAAGATCTGAGAGGATCTAGGCAGGGTCAACTTGTCCAAAGCTGCACAAATTGTGCTGCACCGAAGTGCATACTCAGACACGTGCACTGAGGCACAAATCTCCGGCACAAATTTGAGTTGAGGCTGTTTGTGCTGCTGTAAGCACATGTGCCTGCAGGTGGGGACATGCCCTCTTGGCGTGTTCCCATGAGTAGGAATGTGCATTTCCTTGGGGAGAATAGCAGGAGCACAATGCGTGCCGCTGCTACTTTTCCTTGGGGAATGCCTATGCCACACTACTTTGGCATGTGGCATGTTGCCCTGAGTGGGGTAGGGGAGGCTGGGGCCAGTAACTGTGCTGGCCACAGCAGCCTTACCTGGGGTCCTGGGGGTCTTTGGGAGCTGCAGCCATGGCAATCCTGCAACAGAGAGCCTGGCCAGCAGCTGGAGTGTGGCTCTGGCCAGCCAAGCTCCAGTTTTGGGTGGCACACCCTGCCACCACAGGCACCTCC